AAAAAGTAAGTTCAAAGATGAAACTTTACCAACGAAAAAGACTTCTCAATAAAATTTTGACAAAAATGTATAGACGAAATATATTTTTAAACCGTGCACAAGTGAAAACTTGAAACAAGTTAATTTTTAAATGTAAAATTTTAATGTTCAGGAAATTCCTTCTAATAATAACATGTCAAAGTTGCATACTTTATTCTTTAGCATAATCAACTCAAATAGCTGAAAATAAAATATTTGTTATATGTGTATAAATGAAAAAAATCTCATACTATTCAATATTATTTATTTTACTACTATTAATAAATATTCAGACAGTCATTTTTCATATAATATATTTATAGGTATGTTCGAATTTAGCACTCCATTCATAATTTTACATTATACTATTATATTTATATAATCATTACTTCTATCTTCCGATTAATACATTCAGTTTATATATACAAAGTATTCACTATATCTTATGTAAATAATACAATTTTAGGGAAAGGAATGATAAAACAAGTAAACAGAAAAAAAATAGTTCAGTAACTGTTGAATCACAACTATGTTGCCAATCTCAATAAATTTTATCATGAATTTGAATAATAACATTGACCACGCTTATAGAATATATTGTCTAAATTTTATGTAGGTAATTATTTTATTTATAAAGATTTCAATATAACTTAAAGTGATTAACATCTGTAATTGTTTAAATGAAATAGTTAATCATAGTCTAGTTCAAAGTTTTTAAGCAGAAAGTATTTACATGACGATTCTAAGAAAATTCAATCCATAACATTCCTTAATGTAGCAATACTATCATATCTATAGCAACAACTACATTATCCTTAACCTTAGCACTAATAAGTATGCTAATAGTTAACGGTAAGTTTTGCCGTATAAAGCTTGATAAACTTATCCATATAAGCATCTAAGTTCTTGCTTATGTTATTAACATATATCAATTATTATCACAATTATATATTTTAGATCATGTTTTCAATATAATACATTATAGTACATTGCCAAGAATATGTACTGGGAATATATACATTACGCTAATAAGAATTTTATAATAATGTTTTTTAACATAATTTTTATTACAATTGGTCTGTTAATTATTTCTACTACTATTAAATGCAAAATGTTAACAAATAAGTACGTATATATAAAGAGTGATTAAATTTGTTTTGCGGAATTTTGTTTTTTTTTTAATATTTGAGATGTTGCAAAATTAGTATTTACGAAATCAGTTTAATTTGGTCATGGCAATTATTCAGATGAAAAACCTTTCATGAGTGAATCAATGAACCGCAATACCTCAATCAAGATAAAAATTCTGGTTGAATTAGTATATCAAACTCAACGAAAATTATATATAGAACCGTTTATATATTGAATGCTCATGACATTATTGAAAATGTAGCTTATGGTACTTCAGAACCAGAACACTTAGTTGTAACACTTAGAACTCTATTAACACAATTATATTCTTTCACAAGGAGATTCAGTTCGCGATATTGAAATCGTCCACTCAAACTAGAAACGGAATCTTAGAACGGTACGTACCACGAAACTCGGTCGAGTACTACTGGTGGCGTCAGTACTTTTGCGCGCAGTCCGGCTGGTAATATGTCCCGGTATGCGGCCGGTAATGAGCCGTCGTCACGGGCGGCGGTGTCGTCACTCTCGGCGGGCTGCCCTGCACAGAACCGGGCGTAGGGAGCGGCGGCGCCATTTGACAGCTGGGAGCTTCAAACAAATCCCGAAATCCGGGAGGCATTTCAGGCGATGTTTCTGGCGTATACCATGCCGAAGGTCGCGTCGCATATTGTTGTGTTTGGTGCTGATGTTGTTGCTGTTCTTCTTGGTATTGTGAACAATGGTACGGGTACAAGCCTGGTAGATTTGTTAATGAAGGTGTTCTTGCATATGCACCACCCATTAAGCTGTCCACACTAAATGCGGCGCTCGTGTCCATTACTGTAGTGTGATCTGCTAGAGTTAATTCTTGAGTTCCTGACACTACGCCTGCTACAATACTTGGATATTTATTAGATCCGCAGTCTGGTTCACGTTTCAACTTAGGTTTAACATCGACTTTCACATCGTCTAACTGTTGTAGAAGCTGCCTTTTTACTGAAACAGCGTCGTGCGCCATCTGTAACTGTTGTTGACGTTTCAAAGCTTCCTCTTTTTCTTTCACAGCATCTTTTTTCTTGAATCGTCTTCTTCGGCGCAAATAAGAGCCATTGTCAAACATATTATACGAATCCGGATCAAGCGTCCAATAACTTCCCTTTCCAGGCTTCTTATCATCCCGAGCTACTTTTACGAAACATTCGTTCAAACTTAAATTATGCCTAATCGAATTTTGCCAGCCTTGTTTATTCTCTCGGTAATAAGGAAATCGTTCCATTATAAATTGATAAATACCGTTTAATGTTATCCGTTTTTCTGAAGCGTGCTGAATTGCCATCGCTATCAAAGCAATATATGAATACGGCGGTTTAACCATTTCTTTAGCTGCATGTAAAGATTGTTGTTGATGATGGTGGTGATGATGATGATGTGCACTAAGCGCATAAGGTGACGTTCCTGCATA